AAATCACCAAGGGTTCATGCTGTTTCCCAGGTAAAAAAGACATGCACCGAAGTTTTTCTACTCTCAGCCAGACAGTCAGCTAGAAAAGGCATTCTTTTCTCCAAATGCCCTATCTAGGCAGCCTGGCATCCTATATTTAGCAATTACAAGAACTGGAAGACTAATTGGGGAATAGAATCTCTTGAGCAAAAATATAGTTAAGCCCCAAAGCAAGAAACGAGGGCTTTTCAGAGCGAACTACCTCAAAATGCCTTAACAATTCGAGTCTATTTGTATACTGCTAAATTATCTGTCTGGAAGTATGAATTACATGTAATTATATGTAATGAGGAATGAAAATTTAAATCAGGGTCTTTCATAAGATCAGATAAGTACTTGGTAAGGCTGCAGACTATCTACTCCAATGTCCAGGTCTGGACAACAACGGAGGTCGGCCACTGGCAATCACACAGGACACTGGCAATCACATCTTGTTACAGAAGCTTCATGGATTCCTATAAAGTTATTATATTGCCTTAGCAAATCACCAAATTAAGAGGTTCTTGAGCAGCAAGCTAAAGCAGAATTGAGCCAGTCCTCAATGAATTACATGAACCCTGAACTGACTCAGTTCCTTTTGAGTAGAGAGAGGCTTTTGGCATCTTCCTCACAGAGGGGCACAGTTGGAACCAGATATTGCAATACAAAATCAACTACGCAATACATAATGTTTTTATTGCTAGTCTTGTCTTTCTCTTCCTATTTATTCTTTATGCTAAATCCGCCATTTGGTCACGACTGAGCAATTAGCATTTTCTTAAAACCATATGTTATAAGCTAAGATCTCCCTTGTAAATAGTAGCAGTCAGATCAGCTTCCATCCCTTCATGTGTAAAATTCAAATTATTCCCCTTTTGTGAACATCTCATTTACATTCAACACTGATTTTAATCTGTTGAACACCCAGTCTGCTAAGATCCTTCTGCAACTTTTCTGAGGTAGCTCTTACCTATATTACCCAGAAAAACCTGAGTATCATTTATATTACCCACAAAAACGTGTATTGAGCAAACACTTTCTGTTCCAAAATTAATTATGAATAAATGAAACTGCGTAGGCCCTTGCACTGGTCTTGACAAAACTGCACAGGTGCTTTTCTGCTGTGCAAACTGATTAGTTATTCCTATTCCCTCTCTTGTCCTTTAATAAATAATTGATTCATGTTAGGCTACTCCATATCCATATCCCCAAACTGTTCAGTCTATTAAAGAGGAAAAGTTGCAGTCAAACACCTCATGAAAATGCAAATAGGCCATATCAGCTTCATCAGCCTTAACACACCCACTGACTACAATTAACTTTACAAGGCATGAGCTATCCTTCACAGAAGCTCAAACAAACCTTCCAGCATGTCAAATGTAAGCAGGTGTCCACAAATTCCAGTGTTTAGAAGAATGAGACAGGCTGTGCAGTAAAAATATCATGCTTCATAATCATATTCATAATATTCCTAGAGATTTTTTTTTTTTAATGGGCACTGCAAAACTGCCCTTGTACCAAGGCTTTCAACATAAAGGGAGTTCCTTTCATTCTTAAATGTCTTTCTTGGACATAATGTAGATTCTACTGTCCAATACCTGATGGATATAAATCAACAATATAAAAAGATAAAAACATGTGCTCTGAAATCTCTTTCTTAATTTTCCATATAAGTAACTGCAAATTTGCCCAAAATACATTTCTTAAAAACATTCCTCAGAAATAGGAGTTTAAAAACCAAAGGTTATCAAAAAATGCTTAGGGAAAAATACACTGCTTCCTATCTAAGAATTCAAAATTATTAACTAGTTTAGACTTTTGTGTTGTTTAATAATATCTAAGTGAGTGTTGAAATATAACTCGCTTGCCAGTTTCTTTATTCCCTGGAGAAGTCTAATAAAAAAGTAGGAAGAAGAAAATTCTTGGTTTCTATTCTTGTTTTATAATGCACTAATACAATTCAAGGAATTCATCAACAATATTCATCTGCATTACATTATTATATTATTAATATACATTTCTGTATGAAATCATCATTGTCACTTTTATATTAAAATCAATAAATTTTATCTTTTGAGATCGTCATGTCTGCAATCAAAAAGATCACCTGTGAAACTACGAAAGTCCTAGTAACTTTGGATTCTAAGTATTTATTATTATTTCAAATTTTACCAAGTATTCTCCATCTGAGGATATTCTTTAGGTAGAATTCAAACTATTTTCTAACATCCATAACATCTAAACACATTAAAAAAAAAAAGGATGAGAAAGATTAATATTACCTTTGAAATATCTTACTTTAATTAAAACTAATTTGTAATTTTAAATATAGGGGTAAGAAATGGTAATAGGACAAGATGAAGCAATTCCAACTTTTTAGCAAGGTATTAATTACATATAATTACTAGGGAGTGGAAAAGTTCCATAAATGGGATGAAGCGTCTTGAGGGTATTGCTGACTTCAAGGGATGAAATATGACACAAAGCAGGAGTAATAATTAAAAACATATTTCACTAGCACTTGTACATCATGACATCTACCACTCTAATTATCTGTAATTGTTTATATCTCGGCATATTGTCACAGCGCACTGCTCTGCAAGTCCAGTGCACTGATGCCAGTGGGGAACAATGAAATTAAAGTAGCAACTCAAGACCAGCTTAGTTTGTGCACTGTTATGCCGAACAGCTCTACATAAGTTAATTTTTAAACCCTTAAACAAGCTGCAGAATTTGAAGGTTTTGATATTCCTCTATGAAATTCAGTTAAAGGAATAAAGCACCACAAAAGCATTGCCTAAAATAAAAAACGATAGATGATCTATAAGCAAAATCCCTACTGACCCAGGCAATCCAAACCCTCTCTATTTATTCGGTTGTACTTTACAATAATCTTTTTAAAACTCTTATTATTTCTGAAGATCTTGTTCTGACTGAAAGCCTTTTTAACACAAGGTTTGACGCAGAACAGTTAACCATGCTTGTCAGGCACACATCGCTTTGGAAACAATAGACATAGTTTAAGATTCAAACCACAGATTGAAAATGGTGGAAACAGCTGGAAACACTGGTACAAAGCATATCCACAATAGAAAGTAAACAGATTCATTTGGCTTGTTACATGACACAGAAAAAATCATATATGTTATTTAAAAAATTATTTCGACCTTCTAGATATTCAAAGGGATTCTAACAGATATTTAGCGGGACTGATAAAGATTTCTTTTTAAGGGTGGATGTTTGAACAAAGCGATCAAGATGCAGTGAGATCCAGATATTAGCATTGCTGATGCTCAGGTAGCTTTAATACTGGACTCACCACTAGCACAGCAATCCCCAACAGGCAAAACGATAAACGACAGGAGCAGCAAGTGCGGGGAAGAAACAGGTGAACCAGGAATCATCACTGTCATCACTGGAAGAAGCTTGTCTCTGTAGCAACTTTTACCAAGGTTATTTAAAACTGCCATTACATACACCCAGATGCAGTTGTAGTTCACAAGTAAGATAAAAGATACAACAATTTACTCCGTAATAGAATTAAGCAAGGTTGTTCCTTCCTTTTTGGGGAGAAATGGTGGGTGGAGGGTACTGATCTGCAACCTGTTTCTTAATGTCACTCATTGCAATAACTCCAAGTCCTCTGCAAATTGATTTTCCTGTGCTCTAACTTTAGATCCCCACATCATTTCCCACCTGCCCACTTGACATTCAATTTGCTTCCAAGCCCACTAAATACCCAATAAACAACTTCTGCCTTAGCTTGTTCCAAGATCCAACACACTAGAAGGTCTGTAGGCAACAAAAACAGACCCAAAGAGGTGAACTTATATTTCAGCAGCAAGCTGAAAGCCCGGGAGCCTGAGGCTTTAAATTAGGTACCAACTGTCCTTTCAGGGTAGACACTCATTTAGGTTTCCAGGTTTCCTTCCTCCCTCCAGCTGCTGCTTTTCATAAACTATTGACTGTTCATTGACTTAACATATTGGACATTTCTGCCCCTTTGTCAATTCTGATTTGAAACTGAGCAATGAGTAATTTTGCTTGTCCTGTTTCTGTAATAGACGCTTTGGGTCAATGATTGCAGCCCACACTGCCAGCAGGAGCAGCCACGCTCTACACTGCTGCTGTCGACATGTTAGCTGCAGAGCAAAGCCTGCTATGCATTTTACTGCTCTTAGTCATCTTGTAAAGCGGTTTATGATCTGCTGAGACTGATAATTACTGTTAACTGTATGCAATTTGCTGCTAGGCAGTAGAAGCAGTAGCCTCATAGGCAAAATGCTGAGCACAAAGCCCTTAGCATAAGAAACATGAAGTTTGCTTTCCTTACCACTGCTTTAAGTTTTAGTTATCAGCCAAAGTTGGGTATCACTCCACTAATGTATCTCAATCTCTTTGTGCATATATTTTTTTTAATAAAAGCAGGAATTTGCTTGAAAACCTCACCACCACCATATGTAAAAGCAAAAGCTCAGTGGGATTCAGAAATGCATA